CCAGCCCACAGGGCCGCTGGCTCCGGGCCCGGGCGGAGCTGGAGTCACCAGATGAGGACCCCGAGCGGCAGGAGGATGAGCAGGACGAGGAAGACTACAGCTTCAATGGTGGTCCCCAGAAGGCCGAGCCCCAGGAAGAGGAGCAGCGGCGTGGAGAGCAGCACAGCCCACAGCATGGCCCAGAGCCCGCACAGGAAGCACGCGACGGTGACATCGGCGACACTGAAGGGGGCCTGAGCCTCGGCTCCAAGGAGCTGCAAGGCTCAGCAGGCAGCTCCGAGGCCCTGCTGAGCGACCTGCACGCCTTTGCTGGCAGCGCCGCCTGGGACGACAGTGCTGGGGCAGCTGGGGGCAAGGGCCTCCATGTCACCGCCCTGTAGGGGCCAGCCCTGGGGCCACATCCCTGTCGCTGCGCCTCTGCTTCCCCAGCTGCCATGACGGGAGTCTGCCTGCCCTGGACCCCACTGTCACGTCCACAGGGAGAGCCTCAGACTGTCACTCGCCCCTCTGTCTTGTCCCCGAGGCCATGCATCTCTGCCCCCTCCGGGAAGGGCACTCATTCCCTGGGGCACTGAGCAGCCCTCTGAAATAAAACCCTCCAGCCCTGTGCTTCTGTGGTCCTGTAGTGACCCTTCTGCCCCTGAGCAGAAGCTCCTCTGGCTCGACCTTGCCCACTCCTGCCCCCAGACGGCCAAAGAAAGAGCCAGGTCGGTGCCATGATCTGATCCTTTATTCTGCGAGCACACAGCTCAGCGGCGGGAGGCCCTCCCCCGCAGCCAGCCCCCGCTCCTGATCCAGGGGCATGGCCACTCCCAACAGAGACGCTCTCACACACACTCACTCCTGGACCCCAATGTCCCCTGCGGTCCTTCTTGGCCTGCAGGGAGGAGCCTCAGCAGCTGGCTTCATCCCTGCCCATCCTCCTAGTGCCCAGGGTGCCCACGGCCCCTCTTGGACTTCTTTTTCCCTGAGGGGGGTCGGATGGGGAGGGGGACAGTGCTCGAGGGTGGTGGTGGCGGTGCTGGCAGGAGAGGAGGTAGAGGGGGCTCCATGGGCTCTGGTGGGCCGGGGCTGGGCCGGAACCCCTCAAAGGGTGAGAACTTCAGGGGGCTGCAGGGGAAACCAAGGCAGAGTCAGCGCCTCCTGGCACCAGGGCAGGAGGGCCGACTTCCCCACCTTCCTGGGTACATAGGCTGTGAGGGCAAGTGCCCACCAGACAGCCCCTGCCACCAGGCAGCCCCTGCCACCAGGCATCCCCGAGGTGGATAGGAACTGAGGCTAATGCCGGCTAAGAGCCTCAGCCAGGGCCGCCCTGGGCTTGACGGCAGAGCCACAGCTCGAACCGGCCTCCTGGCCCAGCCCTAGGCTCCCCTCTGCTCCGAGTACCTGATGGGGGTCCGGGGGCTGCTGTTGAGGCGCCTGGGGGAGCGCCGCTTGGGCTGGAAGGAGAAGCCCTCCTTGATGCTGTCCAGGACGGAGGGCGCCACGTACGTGAAGCCCTGGGGGCAGAGGCAGGGCAGGCGATGCTCAGCAGCCACTGCTCCTCAGCCAATCCCGCCCGTGTCCCCAGAACCTGCAGGCCGCCCAGACCATACCAGGAAGGCCTGGTTGGCGCTCTCACTGAGGGCCGTGTCGTCCGGGCTGTCCACTGGTGTCTGCCGCGTGAAGTGGGTGTCAAACTGGCTCACGTCCTCTTCTGACTGCTGTGGGCAGACCAGAGTGGGGAGAGATCAAGGGGCGTCCAAAATGGGGGTCCTCCACCCACCCCTGGGCCCATGGGACCACCACTCACCAGACAGGGCCTGAAAGGGGGGTCCACACGGCGGGCCAGGAGATCATCCCAATTGATGTGCCGGAAAAAGGGGTGCCTCTGTGGGTAGAGCGCCCCCAAACATGCCAACAGTTCACCCCCCTTGGCTCCCTCAGTAACTCTCTCTGCCCTCCAGCACCCCCCTATGGTGGTTCCAGGCCCACCTGTACATCAGCAGCGTCCCCTGGGCCACCCCCGATCCGTTGGCTGGGATTCCGCTTCAGAAACTAAAGGACAGGACAGAGGGTGAGGGTCTGGGACAGAGGTGGTGCTCGGGGGTCCCCGTTTTCCCAGGAGCTGGCTGGGGAGCGGATGGCGGGTGGAGAGGAGGGAGAAGGGGGAGGAGAAGGCCTCTGGAGTGTGGTCTCTACCTACTGATGCTCAGACTTCCAAGGTTTGGCCCAATGTCCCCTTCTCTACGAAGCCTTTACAAAGGCCCATGGCTGCTGGCATCACCCCAGGGTGCTTTAGTGGGGACCCAACTCCAAATCTGCATGAGGGCCTACCGTGCCCTGGTTGCCTTTTCAGTGGAAGAGTGGCTAGCTCATCACGAACGCTTTGCAAGTTAGGACCAGGGACTTGGGGTCGGCAGCTGCTCTGTGTCAGAGCTAAGCCCCAAGCTCAATGTCTGGAACTGCAAAGTGGGGCTCCTCCATCCCAGGGGCCCCCTGCACAGGCTGGAGTGCTCTGGCGCCCCATGACCCAGAGGCACTCAGGAACCCACGCAGGGCCTGGGAAATGAGCCGGGCTGGACCAGGGGCAGGAGGGAGCCCACCTTTTTGACGAGGTCCCGGGCATCCGGGGTGAGGTAAGGGGGCAGCGCCAGCTTCCCTTTGATGATCTTGTCCATGGTTTTCTTCCGATTCTCTGCCGTGAAGGGTGGCTGAGGGGAGGAGGGTGAGAGGAGCCTTGTGGGTCTCCCTCCGGGCCCTGCCCTGCCCAGGAGAGGGACCTCCTCCTGCCCTCACTCCGGCCCCCCCCAGGAGGCTGGACTTGCCGATCCAGTGAGCATGTCGTACATCAGGGCGCCCAGGCTCCACCAGTCCACCGCCCGGTTGTGGCCGCTGCGCACCAGAATCTCAGGGGCCCTGGAAGTCGGGTAGCACCATCAGCTGCGCCCGGCCCTTCCTGGCTGTCCTCCCGACCCTGGGCCTCGCCAGCTGCCCCTTACATGTACTCAATGGTGCCACAGAAGGTGTGGGTGACGACACCCTCATGAATGGACTCCTTGCAGAGTCCGAAGTCCGTCAGTTTGATGTGGCCTGAGGAGGAGTGTTGGAGGAGTGGTCAGGGCCCAGGCCACCCCACGGGCTCCTCAGCCCTCCCCGCAGGTTCTGACCAGTAGATACGACTGCACATGCGCACCCTGGCTGCTCAGCATGATGTTCTCGGGTTTGAGGTCCCGGTAGATGATGCCGTGGGAGTGGAGGTGGCCCAGGGCGAGTGTGATCTCTGCCAGGTAGAAACTGCAGAGACGGGACAGGGAGAGGGCAAGAGTGACGTGGGGAAGGCAGGCCCTTGGGATCCCTGGGGCCCCCGGGAGAGAGGTGGGAAGTAGCACCCACCAGGCCGTGTCTTCCAGGAAGATGCCCTCTCGCTCCAAGTGTGTGAAGAGCTCGCCGCCTGCGACACAAACACGTCAGCAGCCGTGTGCTGGGACCCAGCTCCTTTGTTCTCCGAGTCTTGGTTTCCTCTTGGGGGAGTGGGGCTCATGATTCCCGCCCTACCTGCCTCACAGAGCTGCCGTGGGGGTTCAATTCAATTCAGCAAACATCTACCGACGCCTACTCGGTGCCTGGCCCTGTGCTGGGTGAAGCTGGGGACAGAGATAAAGAGACCCAGCCATTGCCCTCAGGATGCTCAGTCTAACGGGAGAAGACATGCCAGACGGAGGCGGCAGCTCTGAGAGCTTAACCCCAAACACCTCACAGAGGAGACAAAGGAGGACAGAATTAATCCCAAGGTGAGGGGACAGGAAGGCGTGGCAGCAGTGGGACCTAAAGGGGATGCTGAGATGGCGCTCAGGACTGGAGCGCACAGGGCTCCTTGGTGCAGATGGGGTAGGGGGAAAAGCAGGCCTGGACCGCTCCACGGCGAACAGGAGGCCCCCGGAGAGGCCAGGCCAAGGCGGTCAGGCTGTATCCGGGCAGTTACGGGGAGCCATGAATTCTGAGGAGTGTTGGGAACAATGCCAGGCTCTGAGGCGACGACCTGGGAGTTAATGGAGGAGACACTCGGAGAGGCTGGGCCGGAGTTAGGACAGCTGTGCCCTCCCCCTGCCCCTGGAAGAGTGGAGGGGATGGAGCCATGGCAGAGAATGGCCTAACTGGCTCTGGGGCCTGACTGGATGCAGGTAGATGATGCCTGGGGAGTGGAGGTGGCCCAGGAGGAAGGAACAGGACACGAGGGGACAGTGGAAATGGATAAAACAGCCCTCTAGACTTCTAAACAAACTCCCACATTCCCATCCACCCCCAACACAGGCGAGGGACACAATAGGCATCAGATAGATGTTTGCTGAATGAATGAACAGATGAATGAACGAACGAATGAACGAATAAAGGGATGGACAGAGACTGACAGATGGGTGTGGGGGCCCCCTAGCTGTTCTACACACATCTCTCCAGGCTTCCCTCAGACCCCCAGACCTTCCTGTGCTGGTTCCTTGGCCCTGCCCATGCCCTCGCCGGGCCCCCTCATACCACTGAGGCACTCGAGGATGAGGTAGAGCTTGCCACCAGTCTGGAAGGCATAGGCCAGCTCCACAATGAAGGGGTGCTTCACTGACTCCAGAATGTTTCGTTCAGCCCGGGTGTGCGCCGTGTCCTTGGCGTTGCGCACAATCTTGGCCTGGAGAGGCAGGGATCGGTTAGAAGGTGGGTCCCGGGGGCTCCTTCCGTCCCTCCAGCCATTATCCTCCAGCCACCCTCTCTCAACCTCTAGCAGTTTTCACAACCTCAGCACTACCGACGCCTTGGGCAGGGAGTTCCTTGGTGTGGGGGGCTGCCTCGTGCACGGCAGGATATTTAGCAGCGTCCCTGGTCTGTACCCACTGGGTACCATTAGCACCCTCTCTAGTCACGATTCCAAAATGTATCCAGGCATTGCCAAACGTCCCTTAGGGGGCAAGGCTGCCCATGGTCGAGAATTACTGCCAAAACAATACCCAGTCATGAGCTACATACTGGACGATTCCAAAATGTATCCAGGCATTGCCAAACGTCCCCTGGGGGCAAGGCTGCCCATGCTCAAGAATTACTGTCAAAACAATACCCAGTCATGAGCTACATACTGACATTTCAGTCAACAACAAAGCACATCTATGACGTTGGTCCCACAGAGTATAATGAAGCTAAAAATTTCTGTCTCCTAGTGATGAGGTAAAGTCCTAACGCAACCCATTCCTCGAATGTTTGTGGTGATGCTGGTGTAAACAGACCCACTGTGCTGCCAATTATATAAAAGTATAGCACTGCCCTGGCTGGTTTGGCTTGTTGGTTAGAGCACCGACCCGAGGACTGAAGGGTTGTGGGTTCAATTCCCAGTCAAGGGCACATGTCTCGGTTGCAGGCTTAATTCCTGGACCTGGCTGGGGCATGTACGGAAGGCAACCAATCTATGCATCTCTCTCACATCGATGTTTCTCTCTCTCTCTCTCTCCCTTCCTCCTTCACTCTGTCTAAAAATCAATGGAGAAATATCCTCTGGTGAGGATTTAAAAAAATATGGTATCCACAATTATGTAGAGTACATATTTGCAAACAATAAATGACTATGTTACTGACTCATGTATGTGCTATACTATACTTTTTCTCTCTATTTTAGAGTGTGCTCTTTCTACTTAGAAATACAACAGTCTGCCCTGCTTCACCGCAGCGGCCTCATACATCTCGTTTACAGCATCTTTGGATTGCATCACCTTCTCGTGTTTGATCTAATCTTGTGCTGCTTTGTGCAGTAATGTGCTGGACAGGCTGGTAGCCCAGGAGCGGCAGGCTCTGCCCTATTGTCTGGTGTGCAGGAGGTGAGACCATCTAGGTTTGTGTAAGTGCACACTGTGACGTTCGGAAACAATGAGATTGCCTAACAATGCATTGCTCAGAGTGTATGCCCTCATTAAGTGGGGCGTGACTGTGATCACAATTGACAACAGACCAGCAAAGGCCCAAGAACAGGGCCATCTCCTCCATCATGCTCCCTGCCGTCTCCCAAAACCTGGTGCAGCCCGTCGGGAATGGCACGTGTTGGCTGGACGAATAACTCACCTTCCTCAGGACCTTCATGGCATATATTTTGCCCAAGTTGGTGCCCTGCACCTTTCGCACCTGGAACACCTGTAGGGCAGGGGAGACAGGATCAACTTCCCTCTCTACACCCTCTCTTCAGAAGGCCCCACCCCACCCTGAAGCACTGGGACCTCGAGGCTGATGCCACCTAAGGGTGGGGCAGTAAAGATTTCAAGTGCGATTCGAAAAGGATTTGCCCTTCCACCCTTTACGTTTCTGCCTCTGGGTTCTGTGGGAGGCTCCGGGTTGACAAGCCTCCTTTGTTGGAACCCCTGGCGGTGCAGCCTGTGAGGAAGGAGGGGGGCCAGTACCTTGCCATAGCCCCCCTTGCCCAGCACACGCAGCAGCTCAAAGCAGTGGGGCCCAATGCACTCGGGGCCGGGGTTCACACTGGTCTCCGTCAGCTCCACCTCCTCATAGTGCCCCGCGGGCCTGTGGACACAGGAGGGCGATGCGGGCAAGGCCCTCCTCCCCAGGTTCCCTTCCCCACTCCCGCCTCCTTCCGCTTCAGAAACTTTTTGACGAGGTCCCGGGCATCCGGGGTGAGGTAAAGGGGCGGCCTCAGCTTCCCTTTGATGATCTTGTCCATGGTTTTCTTCCGATTCTCTGCAGTGAAGGGTGGCGATCCAGTGAGCATCTCGTACATGAGGACGCCCAGGCTCCACCAGTCCACTGCCCGGTTGTGGCCGCGGCGCACCACAATCTCAGGGGCCATGTACTCAGTGGTGCCACAGAAGGTGTGGGTGACAGCACCCTCGTGAATGGACTCCTTGCAGAATCCGAAGTCCGTCAGTTTGATGTGTCCCTGGCTGTCCAGCATGATGTTCTCGGGTTTGAGGTCCCGGTAGACGATGCCTTGGGAGTGGAGGTGGCCCAGGGCCAGTGTGATCTCTGCCAGGTAGAAACAGGCCGTGTCTTCCAGCAAGATGCCCTCTCGCTGCAAGTGTGTGAAGAGATCGCCGCCACTGAGGCACTCGAGGACGAGGTAGAGTTTGCCCCTGGTCTGGAAGGCATAGGCCAGCTCCACGATGAAGGGGTGCCTCACCGACCCCAGAATGCGTCGTTCAGCCCGGGTGTGCGCCACGTCCTTGGCGCTGCGCACAATCTCGTCCTTCCTCAGGACCTTCATGGCATATATTTTGCCCACGTTGGTGCCCTGCACCTTTCGCACCTGGAACACCTTGCCATAGCCCCCCGTGCCCAGCACACGCAGCAGCTCAAAGCAGTGGGGCCCCAGGCGCTCGGGGCCGGGGTTCACACTGGTCTCGGTCAGCTCCACCTCCTCACAGTGCCCCACAGGCTCCAGGGCAGCCGTCCTCAAGTCGGCGAGGGGACACGCGTCCTGTGGGGAGCCGAGGGGTCAGAGGCCAGGGAGGTGCAGGACCGCTCCCGCACGAGCTGGGCTGCTCGGCCCAGGAGAGGAAGGGGCGGGAATGGGAGCTGGCAGGTGACGGGCAGGGCTGGGAGGAGAGGACGAGAGCAGAAAAGGAAGGATCGGGGGCAGGGCCTGGAAGGCAGGTCGGGGTGGCGGTGGGGAAGGAGCTGAATAGGGGCCGGGATCTGAGAAAGATCCGGGTCTGCAGGAGCGGGGTCCACTCTGATGGGGGGCGCCGAGGCGATCCCAACGGCTGGGTGATGGGATCGGCTCTGGGATCCAGCCGCGCCCGGGAGGACCACTCACCGCAGGGCTGAACTCTGGCTCGCCCTCGCCCTCGCCCTCGCTGCCTTCCTCCGTCTCCAGGTCCAGGTCAAATACGGCCGCCATGGCGGCGCCGGCCCCGCGGGACCCTCGGCGCGTATCAGCGGCTCAGTGACTGACAGCCCGGGCCGGGCCTCAACGTCATCTCTCCGCGACGTCGACGGCGGCCGGCCGCACGCGCCGATGACGCAAGCACATCTCCCTCCCAGGAGCCGGCCGCTTCGCCCTAGCGAGGAGGAAATATGGCGTCCGCCGCAAGGCCTCTCGGGAGTTGTAGTTCCAGATTACCAGGACGCCCAAACCGGCGGCACCCTCTGTCGAAACCTTCAGTCTTCCCAGCACAGCTCCCCGGGAGAGGCACCGGCCCGGGGCGGCCTGGGAGGCGCCCATCTTGGCTCTTAGAGAGTTTGAATGGGGCAAAGCCGGACGCGCGTACAGGTATGAGTGTAAATGCAGTTCCCAGCCCTGCTGAGCCTTTCGCTGCCAGGCTGGCTGGGTGGCGATTGGCCAGATCACGTCTCCCATCTGTTCGCCCCTGAAAGGGAGGCGGCTGCATCAGTGTCTCCCTAACGTGCCTCCGTACCTCCGTGTTCTGTCTCCGTGCCTCCGGGTTCCAGGACCCTGCAGGTCAGAGCATTTACTCGGTGACTGCTCCGTGCCCAACTGACTGCCAGGCTTTGTTGCCAGGTTCCTGCCAGAAAGGACTTGTGTCTCATTCATCCACCTGTAAATATAGGCTTGTGTTGGAATTTGCTCCGCTGCCAATTTAAGCACATTTTGTAATCCGGCTACCTGATACGGAATAGGCGCTTAATAAAACTTTGTTAAAAGAATGAATGAATGAATGAACGAACGAACGAACACACCAAACCTGGTCTGTGACTTTAGATTTGGGCATGCATTCTTATTGGATGGGGCTCTGTGGGGGTGAATTGGACCAGATGAGGGCTGGGTGAGTAGGTATAAACTCAGATATACAGATCTCAGGGGTATCCGTGCTGGAGGAGGGTCATCTGGTTGGATGTGACCCTGTGGATGTAATTCCACCCTTAGGAGGCCCTCAGGTTTGGGTGCTGGTGTGGATTCTCCTGGCAGGCTCCCACAAAGGTCAGCCCAACAGCCTGGCCAGTGTGGCGGTTGTCCTTAGTTCCAGATGTTACAGGTATCCCCTAGCCACCCCTCACTTCTCCCTTCCCCACAGAGCTGAGCCTGAGAGATGTTGTCCAAGTCGCAAGAACCTATCTCAGACCCTGGACCTTTAAGTAGTCCTTAAGCCTTTATTTGGAGAGGGATGCTTCTGGAGCTGTCCATTGCGCCTATGCTGAGCACACAGGAGCTCTTAAAGCAGTCTCCCCTGAATTCAGGAGTGAGACTCCCCTCTGCCAGTGCTAGTTAGGTGAACCAGAGGCTTTGCGCCTATGCTGAGCACACAGGAGCTCTTAAAGCAGCAAGAGTGAGACTCTCCTCTGCCAGTGCTAGTTAGGTGAACCAGAGGCCAAAGCACCTAAGCTTGGGGACGATACATGATGCATGAGGGGCTGTTCACATGTGTCAGGGCCACATATGAGGGCAGGGAGGTTAGCAAGGCCTAGAAGCCGAGTGGGCGGGTTAGACAGTAAAAGCAGGAACCTGGACCCTACACCTTGTCCCTCGACATGCCACCCACTGTGATATGACCTTCAGGCAATGGTTTTTCCTCTTGGAGCCTCTTTCCTCATCTAACGGGTCAGTCATGTCTACCTGGAGGGGAGATGGTAACTGCTGACCTCAGGCCACCTGCTTCTACTGCTCAGGTCAAGTGAGGCAGGTGCAGCCTTGCCAGAAGTTGTCAGCAGGCTCTACAACTGTCCTGGAATTTGTTAAATGCGAGGGTGAGAGTGAGAGGACAGGGCGTTTAGTCTCAGGTTTTCTTGGGATTTGCCCAAGGCCAGGGCCTGCCAGGTTCTCTCCTCCTGTCGATGGCAGGGAGAGAGAGATGCTTGGAGGGGTGGCAGGATGGGCTAGGTTTGGGCACACTCCCACCTCCCTGGAGGTGGTGTGCGTGCGTGTGTGTGTGTGTGTGTGTGTGTGTGTGTGTGCAGCTGTTGTCCCTTCTCCATGGCAAGAGTCCTGGGGTAGCTGTGGACTGGACTGGGGCCTTTGGGAGGGAAAGAGGGCCCAGTGGCCCCCCAGTTGCTATCTTTTATGGCCCTTAATCCCAGGAGGCCTTGGTGTCAAAATGGCCCTGCCACTCTGGAACGAACCTGAGGCCTAGGAGTGGGCCAGGCCAGGGCTGGGACAGGGCGATGGGTGGAGAGGCAGGGAGAGTGTCAGGAAGCTGAAGGCAGCACCGCACCCCTCCAGCACTCTGGCCCTGCCCCCTGACACCAGTGCTATTTGAAGTGGGACAGGAAGTGGGCAACGGGGTAGTGGGGCCCATCGATGCCCAGGCCCTGGCAGAGTCCCAGCAGGCGGAGGCGGGCCTCGGCCGGGCTGGGCCCAGCACAGGCCACACTGCAGTAGGGCTCCTCATACTCGCCAGGCACCTGGGCCTCCTCTAAAGATGTAAACTGACTGAAGCGCAGCAGGCCCCGGTCGTGAAGAGCCTGCAGAGCCTCTTGGCTGGCAGTGGAGCGCAGCACCTGCAGGTGCTGGGACACTAGGCCAGTGACACCCACCAGGTAGCCAGTGGCTCGTGGGTGAGGGGGCACGGCAGGCCGCAGGCCACAGGCCACCATCGCCGCAGCCAGCAGCAGGTCCACACCGTAGAGCTCCAGGATCCAGTCTCGAAGGTAGAAGCCACCCATGCGGGGGTTGATCTCAATGAGCCGAGGCCCAGCCCCGGTCAGCTTGAGCTCTATATTGAAAACCCCATCCAGCAGCCCGCAGCCCAGGCAACAGCGGAAGGCCGCCTGCACCAGCTGCGCCTCCTGCTCCGGAGCCAGCCCGGTGGGCATGCAGGCCGCCGTCTCCGTGAAGCCAGGCAGCCGCGTGGGGCCATTGTCAGAGACAAAGGCAGCCAGCAGTTCCCCACGGAACAGCACCACGTCCACATCGTGCTCCGTGCCCTCGATGAACTCCATCAGCAGCATGGAGTTGCCCCAGCCCAGCCCAATGCCAGGGTGATCGGCCTCACCCTGCAGGTCGTGGGCGATGCGTGAAAAGTGCTGGTGGCACTGCCGTGCATCCTCCACCAGCCGCACGCCCACTGCGCCCGCTCCAAACTCCAGCTTCATGACCCCGGGCAGGGGCACCTGGCGGACAGCCCTCTCCACGTCAGCCTCACTCTCCAGGGGGCAGCAAGGCACAGCATGGAGGGAGGGCGAGGGCCAGGGTGGGCCTTGGCGTCGCAGCAGGTGCAGTTGGGTGCGGCTCTTCTGCTTGGCCAAGCGCATGGCAGCCGGGGGGCTGCAGGGCAGACCCAGCTCCTGGCAGAGCAAGGCTGTGAGCACCAGGCAGTCGTCCCAGTAGGAGAAGCAGCCATCTAGCTGCAGGCCACGTGCCCGCACCAGCTCGGCCAGCAGCCGTGCGTTCTCCTCATCCCTCCTGTGCTCCGTCACATCAAAGTGGATGAAGGTCTGCACCAGCTGGGAGGCGAAGTGGTTGGGGTCTGACTCCACCAGGTGCAGCTGCAAAATCACAGGAGGGCAACACACTCAGATCAGCCCGTGCTGGCCGCTGAGGAAACAGAATGGAGCCCAGAAGGTGGTCTTGGCCCTCAAGGGAGGTGGGTTTACCAACATTAGGTGCTCAAGAAATATTCGTTGATGACTGAGTAGATGGGAGGTGCAGAGGTGGGGCATGTAACCCAGCTTGGAGGGGAGAGAAAGCACCTAGAAGAGGCGGTGCTTAAGCTGGGAGCCGGATAAGAGCCAGCCAGAGGCAAGAAGGCTGCAGGAGGGCGAGGGCAAAGGGGTGGGGTGCGAGGGCAAGTGTCCGCATTCCCACGGGCAGCCTCACTTGGCCAGGATTTGTCGGGAAGCCACCAGGTCTGGGGCTCGGGACAGGTGGTCCGGTGTCTTTGGGGCATTATGCTCTTGGCCGCCATTTATCCAATGTGCTCTGACACTGGGGGGTACCACAGAAGAACCCAGTGGGGCCCCACACCTCCAAAGCTCACTGCCCGCTGGGGGGCAGACAAAGCAGCTGGTACCCAGGGCAGAGCGGCCCCTGCAGAGGAGTATGTAGCATGTGAGAGTGACTGTGTGTGCAAGGCAGGGAACATGGAGGCACGGGGATGGCTGGGGAAGGGGAGCAGTGTACTGTGGGAGGGGGAGAGGAGGCCACTGTGTAGATGGGGACGGAAGAGCCTAGATATTTGCCCTCCATTTTTTATCGGCTCAGTGGGGATAAGAATGCCTATTCTGCCTGCACGGCTCCAGATTCTGTATCGAGGCCACTTCTGTGAACCTGACTCGGGATCTGTAAGCTGCTCCCAGCTCCCTCCTGGTGGTGCCCTCGGGATTCAGTCTCAAAGGAGGCGCCTGCCCTTTCTGCAGGCTCCTTAGCCCGGCATTCCCAGCCCGGTGCTGGCGCTAATCCTGAATGCGGCCCGGCGCCTCCAGCCTGTCTACCCTGGGATCCGCGTAAAACTGCGGGGACAGAGCCCGGCCCAGCGCGGCTCAGTGGTCGAGCATCGCCCTATGAAACAGGAAGTCGTGGTTTGATTCCCGGTCAGGGCACGCGGGCCGGTCCCCAGTGCGCGGCTCAGTGGTCGAGCATCGCCCTATGAAACAGGAGGTCGTGGTTTGATTCCCGGTCAGGGCACGTGCCGGGGACCCCAGTCCTAGGGGCCGAGCCAGCCGCCTGGCCCAGGAAGTCTAGCCCAGTTCTGTCCCCGCACCCCGCAGTTTTTTTTTTTTTTTTTATTTTTTATTGATTTCAGAGCGGAAGGGAAAGGGAGGGAGGGAGGGAGAGAGAGAGAGAGAAACATCAATGATGAGAGAGAATCATTGAT